TTGTTCATTCATTCAACAAACACTTAGAGCCCAACCAGTGTTTTACTTATCAGCATTGAAGTGGTCCTTTTGGACTTAAATGTCTTACTGTTTAACAAAAACACACAATCTTTCGCTGCTTGTGCTGGTAGGATGGAGGAAGAGGCAGCAAAGCTTGGCATCATGTCAAAATGCTGGGAAAGAAGTTTCAGGCACTCAAGTATGATAAGAACAAAACAAAACAATGAAATCTTTTAGAAAGTACTTATGAAACATTTAGACTCTAAGAACTTGACTTTGATAAATTAGAAAGCGAGAAAAAACAGAACTAGTTCCCTCTGGGTTTCCTTATCCTGCTTATCCTAAATCAGCCAATAATCCTAATGGCTTTAAGTGGCTCTGTAAATGCCTCTCTATAATTGTGACCTCAAGAAAGCATGAGGAGAGTTTTAGGGAAAGCTAAGTTAGACAAGATATTAGGAGATAGAAGGAAGTACTGACAAATAACTAAGTATCGAGAAAGAGTAAAAGAGGGTATTATTAGCAAAAGGATTTTATGGGTATAAATATGGAATTAAGAGGACTGTACACTTATTTGTTGAGTAAGTGCTAAGTGCCTGACATTATGATAAGTTTGTAGGAAAATGTCCAAAAAGGTTGAAGACTTCCCTGTACTCAGGGAGCTTGCCAAGCAAAGGTTAGCTGCTAAGTGGAAGACTCAGGCTGGACGTGGCAGGTTAAGTAGGGTTTGAATGGGAGAAAAGAGACCATTCCAGCGGAGGGAGGGCAAAGTGGAAGTCCTAGTCTTTTGTAACCTAAGCACCAAAGTGGCAGCCCATCACTTTTGTCATATTCTCTTCATTAGAAGCAAGCATTTGGCCCAACCCCCATTCAGGGAGAGAGGATTACACAAGGCAGTGAATACCAGAGTGGAGGGTCATTGAGAGCCATGTCAGAAGTGTCTACCACAAAACCCTAAATTGAGAAGGTCAGACAAGAGTTAGCTGGGATTTATCTTTCCTCTTCAGGCTCACTGTTGAGGTCCTCCCTGATTTTTTTCACCACCTCTCATGCTGTTGTAGAGCTTACCTCTGCCCAAATTTGGTGCAGTTCAGACAGGACTCATTAATAACTGACTTGCTGGCCAGGCGTGGTGGCTCACACCTGTAATCCCAGCACTTTGGGAGATTGAGGTGAGAGGATCGCTTGAGGTCAGGAGTTCGAGACCAGCCTGGGCAACGTAGCGAGACCATCTCTACAAAATAAATTTTAAGAAATTTAGCCAGGCATGGTGGCATATGCCTATAGTTGTAGCTACTTGGGAGACTGAGGCAGGAGGATCGCTTGAGCCCAGGAATTCAAGGTTACCGTGAGCTATGATCACATCACTGTATTCCAGCCTGAGCAACAGAATGAGACCCTGTCTTTAAAAAAAGAAAAGAAGTTTTTGACTTACTAGTTCTTTCCTGAGATAACAACTGAGCATTTTTTTCTTTTGAGTGTCATTTATATTGGACACCTTACTAGACCAAGAAAAAAGAGAGAACACTCAAATTACTAGAATCAGAAATTTAAAAGAGGACAATACTACCAACCTTACAGAAAATTATTATAAAGGAATCCTGTGACCATCATATGCCAGTAAATTGAACAACTCGGGTTAAATGGACAAATTACTACAAAGGAGTGCCCTAGAACATGAAGAAATAGTCACCTAGTGATTAACCGTGATGCATTTACAGGCTGCTACCGTCTCCTCTCAAGGATGCAGTGGAAGTGTCAACCTGGAGAAGATGCTATACGATGCAAGAGGTGAACTCTGCCCTTAGTAAAATCCAGCTGGTGGGATATTCTCAGAAAATTGTGAGTGTTGATATCATTTTTAAGTGATTGATGAATACTTTCAATTCATATTGTCCTTTGGAAGGATCCTATAGTTCCCTTTTTTAAACCAATCAGTTGCTGAGAATCTTCTACTAGTGTAAGGTGAAAAGACAGAGCATCTTATTTTCCTCCATCCCTCCCAGGTTTTTACTGGTGCTCTTTCCTAACCTTCACGTTCCCACCACCAGCTAGCATTCGACTGGCCAGCAGGTAATGAGTCCGGAGAAAGGCATCTCATCCCATTCACATCAGAACAGTGGACCCTACTTCACAGATTTTGGACAAATGAAATAGGAAACAGAGAAGCAGTTTGGCAAGTACGGCTTTTGAGCTCTGACCTAAATGATAAGGGTCCCCATTTCTTCTGTCAGAGCTACTCATTACAGAACAACCAAGAACCTAACATCTAACCTAAAATGAAAAAGGAAAGCCAAAGTATTTGACTCTTTGGTCTATTTGGTAATATATCATGTCTGCCTTTTAATTGGTGGGTCCTGAGTGCCTGGAGACATGGAGAGGGCTGAAACTGTCAGGTGACAAGTAAAGGCCAAGTCGACCACATGTGCTCCATTGTCTTTGTTTCTTTTAAACTTTCTGGTTTACTTTAAAATAATTTGTTTTTAAACTGAGAAGGATATTTCCGTTGTTTTTCCCTGCAAACTTATCTGGTGTGACTGCGTTACTGAAAGCTCATCACACATTTTTACTGTGGTTGTTTTTTAGGAGCTTTTTGGTGCAGTCCAGGTGACTCCTCTAAGCTCTGGCTATGCCCTTGGAAGCTCCAACTGGATTATCCAGTCTCATTATGAGAAAGTATCTTACGTCTCTGGATCCTCCTTGCTTACCACACATCCCCAGGTAACTATAAATTCTCTTTTACCAACTCTGCTTTTTGGTTATTAACTCAAACTCAGAATGTGTCCAGAGTACCATCAGCCATTTTTAAATCTTCCTAATTTTGTTTTCTAGAAATATTCTTTAGAAAA